CCTGACAACCATTTTTGCCAACATTTTTGTCGTTTTGCTCAAAAGTTAGAAGCTTTAATCATGGAATTGGAGTCATTGTCTTGTTATCTTAAGTTTGTATCTTTACACATGGAATATTGATCAGATCTCTCAGTGACAGAACACTTTGTTTGAAAAAAATGTAGACAGATTTACGATATACTCAAAAATTTCTACGAGAAAAGTCCGTTTCCATTGTTAGTTTGTGTGTATGTATCAAACACACATTGACGAGATAAACATTCATTCAAGAGGAAGTAGAGGAAACTGATTACATGCGTCTTCGCAATGACAAGAACTTAAATGATTCTAAGACTATAGGCAAGTCAGCATGAATCATTGCATGATCCAACAAGATTTAAATAGGCATCACTGCATGATCCAACAAGATTTAAATTCTGAACAGAGTGTTTGATCAAACAGTGGGCCCTTGAGACAGATACACATTTAAAAGGAAGCATATTGAAACAAAAGAGTACCGATTTGATTTGTCTTAGCCAAACTCATTGTCTTAAATACCGATTCGATTTGAGATAAATCTGATCTCAACCAACAATGCCCATAAGAAAAGTAGTAGAAAACAATCACAACATATAGAGTATCCAAGATAAACTGGTTGACGGAAAACAAAAGAGGCATGGACGACCTAGATGATAAGCACATAAATCTTTAAAGTCTACGGGAATTTTCATAGCTATTGTGGACCGAACGTTTCCTTTGACAGAAGTACATTGAAGTAGCAACATCCGGGTGCAGCTTCGGCATTGGAGGCACATGGACTGGTCCATCCATCGGCATCCCGCCATGGCTTGATGAAATCGTCTCAGACATGTCTTCAAACTTCATCACAGTTTCCATTTGTGCAGCTGCCAAATGTGCATAACAAATAGGCGCAGCTGCAAAATCAAAATACTAATCAATGTGTTGTCATCATAAACTCTAATCTCATACCAAATCACTTTAATCGTTGTCCATCATCTAAAACTTCTCATAGTGATCACACAAATTACCTACAGAGATGGCAGTTGTACTCCTCCGGTAGCTACAAGTATCAAACCAAACAATTAAGAGAACAATAGCTAATATAATACCAATGAATGTATCAGATCAAGAGTTAAAAAAAAAAAAGAAGATCTGATGCTTACACATAGGATAAAGAATGGACAAGTTCTTGGAGGTCATCAGCCGAAAATCCAATCTCATCGTATAGAACATGGTAATGCGTTGGCCTAATAGTTCCCTATCACATATCAATACCATCCAATTCATACCACATAATAATTTTATTTTATTTTGGTAACTTTTTTCTTGGTTAATAATGGATCCGAGCATAAGACATTTTCACTTACAATCATTCCAGCATGAGCACAAAGATAGAAATCATTGTTGCGCGGGTGACATATCTTGTTGTCAATTATTGTTCCTACATGTAATAGGAAAAATGTTTAATAACACCAAAAACCAAAAATCAAATGGTCATGGTTATAAAAATGGATTATTTTTAGACTTGGAGGAACATTCTTATAAGGGCTTCTTGTCTGGAAGAACTTGGTGTGGTGATTTTTCTGAGCAATGATCACTGTAAACTTGGGATCCCATTTCTCATCATAGAACTTGCACGCCTATTAATGTAACAAAAAAAAACTCTGTAATTGTCCAACAAAGGATAAATAAAAGAATTTAATTAAAAGGTATTCAATACCAAAATCCTTACTTGCATCATCTTATCCAGTTCAATATTAAGAACTTGGTTAAACTGAGACTCACTCACACCATCTCTACATGGATTAATGTAGAACAGTGCTTAGCAAATTGTATTAAAGTCCACTTTCACAAGATCGTTTTTTAATCTCTAAATTTATATGCATACCTGAAAATGATAACGTGATTTGGTTTCACTCTAGAACTTGACTCAAAATCAAGCAAGAGCTCCCTATAAAACATCATTGAATCTTTTAATCATATAATAGATATAAGCAGAGCAAATTTTCTAGAGTTACACAATTTCCATTATTATTATTATTACCTCATGATACCTTCATCATCTACATCAGAGATGCGTTTAAAGAGATTATCAATCATTTCAACTTTAGGCGATTGTGTACGTACACAAGCTCTGTATTTCGAGATTAATTGCCATTCTCTGGAGCTCACAACCTATGCATTCCATAGATATAAATAGCTTACATGAAAATACAACACAAGATATTAAAAATTTTGAAAAACCAAAGACAAATGTTACCACGGCAATAGATGGTACAACAGATTGCCCTGGAGAACCATGAGATACATCCATCCCAATAATCATGGTTGGAACTCTCATTGCCGAAGGCATTGGCCGAGACCTCTCAATAGCTAACACTGAATTCAATCCACCAAGCTACACAGAAATGGCAGAGATTCATATTTAAATTAAATCAGAAACTACAAAACTATAAGTTATATTTGATTCAAAGAGATCACCTTGGCATTTATCTTAAGGAGAACATTGGTGAGATATTGATCGTTCACATGGGCGTTAGCAGGAGGAGCAATACATTGATTCACAATTCCAGATTCAACAAGAATTTTCCTTTTCCAAGGACCTAAATAGATTAAATATTCAAAGACAGTTAGTTATATGAGAAAGGAAAAGGATAACATGCTTCAAGAAAAGTCATATAAAGTGTTAAGTGTTACCATAAACATTAGAGCTTTTCCTTTCTGCGAGGAAGCAAAGAAGGAATTGAGGTTTCCCTGGGAGTTTGGGTTTTATATGTTCAATCATCTTCTCTACTCTTACAAAAGCAGGTGCTTCCTTAAACTTGGGATCCTCTTGAAAGACATTACATGGAGGATCTATGTTCTGAGACAGAAAAAAAGATAAACCAAGGAAGAGTTTTTTGTTCTTCTTTATAGTAAGAAATGGTCTTGAAGAAACAAAAGCTTACAATTCCTTTCATCTTTCCACCTCTGATCAAATCAGAAACAATCTTGTGTGAGTTACAACGAGCAGAGAAGTTCACAACGACCCATTTAGTAATCCTCGCTGGCTCAACAAGTGTCTGTAGAAGACATGTTGAAACTGTATCACAAGTTTTCAAACATCTCTCTATGTGAAAAAAGCTAGTGCAGAAGAAAATTAAGGACCTTATTATTGAAATTCCAACGCCCATTATTAGGAAAAAGGTCAGCTTCACTGCCCACTTTTAGCTGTTTTGGGATGAAAAATAACATCAAATCTTCCATAGCCGAAAAAGAAAGACAAGAGTAAGAATGACCTTCGGTGTTGGTAATACGCGGCCTTCCACTTGAGTGAAGTCAGAGCCAATTCTAACTCCGCATTCTTGCAGCATTGGATCATTGTTATAGTTACTGTTCTTCAGAGCCTACAAGACGAGACATTGATAAAATTTAAGAAATGAAACTTAAAGAATACAAATGGAAACTTAAATAACTTACTCTGGATAACACATTCATTTTTTCTTGTGGCTTCTGTCTTGATTCTTTGACTAGGTTACTCCTCTTGTAGAGAAACAAGTTCACAGTGCTGTAAATGTTAGAAAACCAAACAAGTATTTATCATATAATTAAGCCATGAAACATAAAAATATGTGAAAACAAAGACATTACCTCAATGGGTATGTAAGTTGGACGCTTCGGCTTACCAACATTGATGCAAGTAAAATAATCCAATTCTATTCTAAATTTCTCTTTGAAGTAATCAAACACTGTAATCTCAACCTCATTAACTTCCCCGTTGTCGTTCTTTCACTTCCAAATAAACCTAAATCAAGTAATAAAAAGTGATAACAAGCAAATCAAAGTCGATAGAAAATTATATATATCAAAGAAACAACATACGTTTGATCTTTGCAGAGTTTTTCACTTAGTCCGGTTATCTTGTATTCTCGATTTGAGGGGCTGACTTTAACTCGAAGATTCTTGAGAGTACTTTTAGCCTAAAAGAGAGACAAAATCAGATAATCAAGTGTTTCACCTCAAAGATATGCTAAAACACCATTGAAGTTCTTCTAAGTACCTTTTTCCAGTTAATAGAGAATGGATCTTCCAATAAGGAACTTAACAACAGGACCAGGGTGTACTATCATCGTACTAGAAATATCTGATGAAACAAAAGCCAAATTGTTACAGAGAAGAAGTTGAGTTGGAGGTTAAAAATCATACAATGAAAAAACGGAATTACCAATATTGAGGGATAAGCCTCCCTGAGTAGTTCTGAAGCTTGAGTGGAATCCTTTGCAACAGTCAACTCCTTCACCGATATCGGTAAAGTACTTTCTCTCATTGTGGAAGAAGGATTGGCAAGTACTTTCTCTCATTGTGGAAGAAGGATTGGCGAACAAGGAGGCAGCCTCTGCGTAAAAACAGAAATGTGACAACATCATGAACATCAAAAGAATCAATCAAAAGATAAATCAAAGAATATCAAGAAAAGTATTTACTTACAGCCTCACTGCGTTCTGGCAGAAGATAACATCCAACACTCTAATAGCATCTTGAAGATGAATTGTTTCCTTTCCTTGAAGAGCATTGGCAATAGCTTGCATTGGGATTTTTGCAGCAAAGCTTATTGCAACATTAAATTTCTTGGATTGGTTAGGACGTTTTAATCTTTTCATGTTCGCGTCACTTCTCCTAGAAACCATCTCTTCAAGGACAACAGAGAAATCAAGTTTGTTGCAGGGAAGAGCACCAACAGTAAACAGAGTCTTCTCGCCGTCATACGCAAAGTACTTGGAGCCTAAATCATTGTAGTATGTTTCTTGAACTTTGTCAAGAATCTTTCTCCCAATACCTTTAACCTCCATAGGGCCACCATCTTCATATGTGATGGAAACCTGTATTCAAATTCGACTTTAGAGTCAGTACTTGGTACAGTGAACAGCTCTATCCATGAAATAAAACAGTCAAAGCAGAGACTGCAATAAGACATTAGAGTAAACAATATCATACCAAGCAAAGACCACAAGGCATTTAACATTTATCATTCATGCTTGGTATAAACAGGAAAAGCAGAGACAACAATCAGATATTATAAACTACAAAAGAAGAAGCATACACTTCAGACAGTGATACACATAGGACATTGGAAGAAACAATATTACACACACTGTAGTGGAAGAAATGACCGTTGGCACTGTCCAGGTTTACTCTAAAGTGGTTCGTAAGAAGTTGTATCTTCTCTCCTTTTGTACCACTGCCATGCCGAACAATTGGGAGAAGACTAGTCTTTTTTACACGCTCCAGTTCAGGAACAACATATGATGGTTTATCAGAATCCATATCTGGAAAACAAAAATCACAAGGTCAACAAAAAAATCATTAGTTTATGCCAATGGTAAAGCAAGAACGCTAAGCAAGCAGTGTGTTTGAGCAAACAAAATCAGCAAGAAAACATAAAAAGATGCTTACGAAATAACTTTGAACGGAAATCTAAGCCAATAGAGCAAGAGACAAGTTATC